AGCACAAGCACCTTTCTGACAAGTGCAAGGTCCTAAATTCAATTCCCAGTGTACATATATATAATTTAATATTTACATATTAATATAAACACAGAACAAAATAACTTAAAATAACTAACGTTAAAAAAGGAGAAAGAGGAAAGCAAAAACAAATGAGGTTTTTTGGGTTTGTGGGGTTTTTTTTTAAGGAAAGGTCCTCTATTGGAGTGGACAAGAAGCACATGAGTCCATGATAAAATGGCTAACACAAGCCAAGGGCCACAGTGCCCTATGTGGGGACAAAACTGGCTGCACGGCTGACTCCACCTGGCCCTACCTCTGCCACCCAGCAGCAGCGGGACCCTAGCTCTAGATACTCAGGACATACTTGGTCCCAGGCTGGGACCTGGGCAGGGAGGTAGAAAATAGGCTTATTTATAAAGCATACGGGGGGCCAGGGAGATGGCTCAGTGGAATAAGCGCTTCCCTGGCAAGCGCAAAGGCCTGAGTTCAATCCCTGGTTCCACCAAAAAAAAAAAAAAAAAAAAGCGTACGGGGCCAGGAAGATCACTCAGTGGCATAAGCACCTGCCTGGCAAGCACAAGGTCCCAAATGCAATCCCTAGTACTACACCTACACACACACACACACACACACACACACACACACACACAGTATCTATAGACACCTCACCACTGGGTGTGAGTCCCCTTTAACCAACATGTGACATGTTATAGCATAAATAAAAACTCAAGGAAAATAAATAAATCAGCTCCTATGAGGCTGGAATTGGTGTGGATGGGATGCAGGAGGGTGGCCAAAGGGGCAAGCAGGCAAGCAGACAGGCAGGCAAGCAAACAGGCAGGCAGGCAGGCAGCATCAACCTAGGTGCCCTTGAATAAATCGGGCTGTATGACCACACTGCCTTCTGGGGTGGCAACAAGTGAGTTCATACCCTCCAGCTCCACCTGCTTCTAGTCTCTCTTCTTGGCAGTGCTCTTTTTATCCCACTGCTGATGTAGGTAGCATAGAAGGATGTTTGTCATTTTGTCACAATGATCTATTCTGATGGGTATTCCTCGGTGCACTGGTAGGCAGAGGTGTGTCATTTTGGGAATCGACTAAAATCGCTCTCACTGTAGACAGGCAATTCTTCCATAAAGTCTGTCATCCTCTGTTCCCTCTGTCGCCACCTGAGCCTCTACCACTAGTCACCTTGTCAGCCACTGCTATATATACTAAATGAAGTATTTTAAGAAGGGGCTGGGGATATAGTTCAGTCGCATAAGCGCCTGCCTGGCAAGTGCAAAGTCCTGAGTTTGATCCCTGGTACCACAAAAAAAAAAAAATATTTAAAGTAAAACATCGGGGCTGAAGAGATGGCTCAGTGGTCTAAAGCACCTACTTGGAACAAGCTTGGCAAAGCACAGGGACCGCGGTTCAATCCCCCAGCACCACATGCCAGCCAG